ACGATATCACTCTTGTATTTAAAAGATATCCCGATTAGTCGTCGAGACAGAGACGAATTTATTTCTTTCTTCGTGTTTAAGAGTGAGAGAAAAATAAGAGTTGTGACTTGAAAATCGCTTAAAATCGGGTGTATTCAAGAAGAAACAATTTTGAAAAACGACTTTCTTTGTGTTTGTACCATTAAGGACTAATTGCCGGCGTTTTAATTTTAAAGTGTTGCGAGATAAGTTTTGACAATCTAGTGAATGGCCGCGTAATTTATTACGATCTCCATTAAAAAATGCTAAGATGGCCGCCACGCAATCAACTCTTGTAAATTCGCCCCTTTTTGACTCCCTCAAACACCCCCATTTATGCCCCTCTTTTATTCTTTCACCCTACTTTTGAACAAGGAACGAACGACCACTGAAACGCGAAAGTGCGAAAAAGATGCACGATTTTAATGTCCGATTGTACGAGAGACGAAGAAATTTCACTTTTTATCGATTTAGACAATTTTTAATCAAGTGACCGACACGACGACTAGATCACAACTAACAAGGGTCAAGCCGGGTAGGTCAGTAACACAACCCTTACGATAGGGTTGAGACTGGTCACGCGGGTATGCTAATTTTTTAGGGAGAGGTCAACAGATGGCCGGAAGGAAGGGACGATTCAGACAAATAAAGAAAATCCCTGCTCTAACACCATGAAAATTTGATGTTTTTTGAGAAAAATTCTCCTGATATAAAACTTAAAAATAAATCACAATTTCTTATCACCCTGTATATAGAAAGTAACATGTATTTTATCTCTACCGAGGCGCAGCCGAGCCGAGCCCTGCCGACTAATTTATAAGTAAAACATTTAAAATCTAGATCTAGAAATCATCTAAATTTTACAGTTACATTTTTTTAAATCGATTCAGCCACAATTTTTTAACACCTTGTATACGATGTATAAAAATGTGTTATAAATTTTCTCTTTGACTGTACAACATTAATTTAAATTCTGTTTAATAAAAAAAAAATTGGCTGTCAAAAAAAGTGCTAAATTGACGGTGAATCCGAGGGTAATAAATAACTACTTACTCATTTCAATGTTAAACAACAAAAAAATATTTTTTTAATTGTTGATGTCCATTAAGTCACTTCTCATAATAAAACGTAAAAATAATGTATATTGTTTTTTCACCCTGTATATAAAAAGTGACATTAATTTTGTCTTAAACTGTACATAAATGTAATTTTTGTTTTGTTTTTAACGAAACTTGTGTTTAATTTTTTAAGAAAATAAAAATCGTGCTAATTGACAAAAGACGGTAAATTCGAGTCTAATAAATAACTTTTCATTTGTCTAAATGTCTAATTTTATTAAAAAAAAGTTTTTTTTTTAATTCCTGACGTATAATAAGACAGCTTTGACCACAAAACGCAAAAATAATGGACAATTCTTTTCACCTTGCATACAAAAAATGATATTAACTTTGTCTCGAACTGTACACTTATATAATTTTTTAGTAAAACCAACTTTTTTAAATTTTTTAAGAAAAAAAAATGTGCTAATTGACAAAAGACTAGACGAAGTAAATCCGAGTCTAATAAATATCTTTTCATTTCTCTAAATATCTAATTTTATTAGAAATATTTTTTTTTATTCCTGACGTAAATTAATAAAACAGCTTTGATCACAAAACGCAAAAATAATGAGCAATTCTTTTCATCTCGCAGATTATAAAAAGTGATATTAATTTTGCCTGGAACTGTACATTTATGTAATTTTTGTTTTGTTGAAAAAAAAAACGTTTAGTAAAAATATTTTTTTTAATTTTTTTAAGAAAAAAATATTTGTGCTAATTGCTAAAACACTTGATGAGGCAAATCCGTGTCTAATAAATATTTATTCATTTGTCTAAATGTCTAATTTTATTAGAATAACATCAATTAAGAGAGTTCTGATAACGAAACGCAAAGATAATGTACAATTTTTTTCACCTTCTTTATATAATAAGTGACACTAAATTTTGTCTTAACTGTACATAATGTAATTTTTGTTTTGTTTTACAAAAGATATGTAAAACAAACTTTTTTATTAATTTTTAAGAAAAACAAGTTTGTGCTAATAAATCCGGGTTTAATAAATCATATCATTTGTCTAATTGTGTAATTTTATTAGAAAGTATTTTTTTTTAATTTTGAGGTCACTTAAGACAGCTCTGATAACAAAACGCAAAAATATTGTACAATTTTTTTCACCTTGTGTATATGAAATGACATTAATTTTGTCGTAAACTGTACGTATATGTAATTTTTGTTTTGTTTTAAAAAAACGTTTTTCATTTGTCTAAATGTCTATTTTTGGTGCCTAATTAAAATAGTTTTGATAACAAAACACAAAAATATTTTTTTGTCACCTTATATACACAATTTGTTTACATAATTGTAATTTTTTTTATTGTTATATAAGTTTAGTGAGAGAATTATTCTATTTTTAAGACGAAAACATGTAGTTGTTTACATAAAAGTCTAGACGAAGCGAAGGCGAAACTAGTAATTACTTTCCTAATAATCTTATTTTATTATTTTATTTGTATTTTTTATTTGTAATATTATATTATAAAAAACCGTTTTGAAAATTTTTGTATTGTTTTATAGGAATGTTTGATTTATTAGTTTATTTCTCAAAATTTAAAAACACAAATACCAAAAAATAATATAATTAGATTTAAGGTAGAAGCAAAGTTGACACAAATTTAAATTGTTTTCAGAATATTAAATATCATTTGTCTTCTTATGCAACATGACATTAACTATTCCCAAAACTGCATATAATAATTTACGACACAATCTTTTATTTGTCCTCTAAAAATGTTAAGTTCAAGGTGATTTAAATAATAACAAATTTTGGTACTAATTTCTTTACAGACTTAAAAGTCTGGTCCAACCAACTACAATTCTAAAGGAGATTTAAATAAGTTTCTTTTAATCATTTTTCTAATGATTTTTTTCGTTCATTTCTAATGGTAAATTGTAATTTTATGTGTAAACATCCATTCACTTTTAAATTAGTATTTTGAATGCAAATAGTTCTTATTTTAAGTTAAGAATATAAATGTTAATTGAACCACTCCTAATCAACATTTTCTTTCTATCTTCAAAATCACAAAAATGCACTCGCGAAATTTCACACTTTATACTTAGTTTTAGACCAGCTCCGCTTCAGGCACTCAAAAATCGGTTTATTTAGCATCACACTGTGTATAAAATCGCACAATGGGCCAACCACCCGGTCACCTCTTTACCTGAATGCGATCACCCTTTCCGGATGACCCCTAAAAATAAAAATGCTTCTCTTAACCGGTTTGACCAATTCCAAGGGGTTGATATTCTAAAGCTCATTTTTTTAAAACGCTGACCCTTCATTTGCATACTGGCCTGACCAGTGTGAGAAAATAATCCAACAATAGAGCCGCGGCCAACGGTTTTTCGCATTTGTTCGACTTCTCAATCAATTTTTTCATCGCTCAAACAGGAAACTGTAACGGGGGTGGAACGGTTCGCGACACGGCTACTACATACGCTACCCCACGCAAAACAAAATGGCGCCACAATACGGGTGCGATTCGAGAAAGTTAAACACAGCCGACTTTCTATAATAATAAAATTATTTTATTTCCCGGAAAAATAAAGGTGGCCTTGATTTAGCAATCTCGGCTTTCTCTCAAATGTCAATTTTAACAATCCAAGAAAAGTTATTGCGACATGTGTTGCAAATTATTTCACAAATACTTTTTTATTTTTCTATACTTCACATTTCCTGTGTTAACGTACCGATTTTTTATTTTTTTTAGTCTACTTACTTGCTTCCTTCCTGAAAAAACTATTGTTTTCATATTTATGGTAATTCACAAAACCTTTTACGATTTACGAATAATACAGCACATTTTTTATTAAAAAATACGTTGTAAATGACACGCATTTTTTCGAGGTTAATTAAAACCACAAGTCGAAAAAATTACTAATACGCACGCCACTGGTAAGAATAAAAATAAATTAATTGCCAAAAATTAAGCCCACAAATTCTGCAAAAAATTAAAATAACTCAAGTGATTTTGGAGAAACTAATGGATTTTAATTTTGAATATAAATTTTTATCACCCTGTATATTCGTAACAAAGTTTTTTTGTCAAATTAGTGTTATTTTTCGATGTATATTATGTGGTTGCAATTTTTTGCAATAATAAGAAAAGAAAGGTACAGTCATTGTAAAAAATACCGCTCGATTGTCGTATTAATTTTGCCCTACACTGTACCTACATTCATAATTATTTTCTTATATTGTTTTGAATGATAGTTGAATTAAATTAAATTAAATGCAAAAAATTTAGGAAGTCGTAAAAGTGCCAACAGTGTAGCCAACCATAGAAAAAATAATCACATATATAACATTTGAATTTTTAAATATAAATATTTGAAATAATTACGACTTTATTATACTTATTGCAAAAAAAGTGTTATAATTTTGCGTTATTAATAATTATCCTAATTACGAAAAAATTATATAAAATTTTAAAACATACAGATTTCACGTTTTAAAAATTTTTAATACAGTTTAATTACGTAACCTAAAAATAACAATAAAATTAATAATATTGAAAAACTTTTACTATTTTTAATTAGACTTAATTAATTAAGAAACCTAGTTTTCATTATGGGTTCAATAATTGAAATTTATTGAATTTTAAGTATTTTTATTAGAAACTATGATTCAAAATTTAAAAAAGTATTTTTAATAATTTTAATTTTGATGTAAAGTTAAGTTGGTACGAATGAAACATGTTTTTTCCAATTAGTCATTACGAATTAACTGCAGTGTAACAACAAATAAAAGATTCTCCATTTGGAATTTTTTCTCCATTTTGTGATAAAAACTGAAAAATTTGGAAAAACCCCCCGTGACCCCCACCACACAAGCCGACTCAAAACTATATGTCGACCGAAGGCGGCTTTGATTGTAACAATAGCCGGCGACAGAACCCGATAGAAACGCGTGTGTCTAGTGTTCAATTAATTCCAATTAATTAAAATTAATTAAAATAATGAGTCGTACGGAAGAAATTCTGCGTCTGATGCGCGAATCGGGTGAAATCAAATGGTGTCCTAGAGAAAAATCACAAATCGCTGATTTTTACAAAGAAAAAAATGTTTTCGTGACGGGCGCCACTGGATTTTTGGGAAAACTACTAGTGGAGAAATTGCTAAGGGCGTGTCCCGACTTGGGAACGATTTATATTCTCGTGAGACCGAAAAAAGGCGAAGATGAGCACAGCAGAGTGGATAAGTTGTTCAGCGATCCGGTAATTAATTATAATTAATTAGAAAAATCTGTTTTTTCTCATTTATTTTTTTTTTGTTACGACAATGACCGGCAGTTTTAACGTGTTTCAAATGTAAATATTTAAAATTTCTGACCTCTTCACTATAGTTAAAACAAACAAAAAGTATTACATATTTCAAGGGCACCCTCTGTTGGAGTAGAATTGTTAATTTATAATAATTATATTGACATGGACATTGTGAATAATACAAAAATTACAACTTTTGGTTGGTCACACTGAATTTCACAATAATTACTATCAAAAAATTATTACAAGTTTTAGCGATCGAGGCGTGGGCGAGTTTGCAATTTTGTTTCACTATATTATTTTACACATTTTAATTGAATTATTTGATTTTTTTTAATAATTAGTTAAATTCAAGTATGAATTACTTTATTATGCTCATCAAACAATAATTCGGTTATAATATAAAAATGTCATTATTTGTTAAAATACCAGGTGAATAAAAAGTATGGAACCAAACTTTTTTTGCTTAAACTATTTATTTTTTGAAAAAACTAATTAATGAGTGATAAAGTACTATAAAAATGTGATGATTTAAC